CTACCCCGAATGGATTGGATTGGATAGGACTGAACTAGAGTGGATAACAAATAGGTTTCCCAAAGCAAGTTCCCAACAGCCACGCTGTGAGGCAACTCATTCTAAGTAGCATTATTCCCATTTTACAAACAAGACAACTGCAGCTCAGAGAGATTGAGGGTCTTGTCCTTGATCACACAGCTAATAAAAGTCAGGGATAAAGTTGGAAGGAACTTTAGGAGGCATTAAGCCCAAACCGTACCTGAATCAGAATACCCTCTAAACCATTCCTAACACTAAGCGGCCAGCTAGCTTTTGCTAGAAGGCTCCACCACCACCACCTTATGACACCCCATGACAGGGGAACCAGCATTGAGGTGGCGCAGTGGATAGAACACTGTACCTGGGGTCAAGAAGACTCAAGTTCACAACCTATCTCAGGCACTTACTAGTTTATGACTCCAAGCAAGCCATCTCACCTCTGCTTGCCTCACGTCCTTGCTACTGTCTAGCCCACATTTCACCATTTTGTGCATATGGATTGCATGAGTGATCTCCAATTGAACCTGTTTATATCATATCTGCACGCTGTTTCCTCCACTAGAATGTGAGCTCCTTGAGAGCAGGGACTGTTTTTGCCTTTCTTTATCTTATCAGGGCTTAGCAAAGCACTGGGCACATAGAAGGCACTTAAATATTTATTGACTGCTGGCTGATTACACTAACACACTTATTTGACTGGTGTAGGTAGCTCCCAGTAAAAAAACTTCTAAGAATGCAAAGCCATACCTTCTCTGGATGATACAGTTTTAAAGAATTGCTTGGGAATTAAGAGATTAAAATGATTGGGGCAGCTAGGTGGCCCAGTGGATAGAGTGCCAGCCCTGAAGTCAGGAGGACCCGAGTTCAAATTTGGCCTCAGACCAAACACTTGACACTTACTATCTGTGTGACCCTGGGCAAGTCACTTAACCCCAATTGCCTAAAACCAACCAACCAACCAACAAACAAACAAAAAAAGAGAGATTAAAATGACTCACAGAACCAGTGTGCATATGAGGGAGGTAGGATTTCAACCCAGGTCCTTCTGACTTTAAGCTTTTTACTATATCATGCTGCCTCAGCTTCCCTTTCTGAGTTCTCACAAAGCATCCCTCTAATGGGTTTCAGAATCTTGCTAAGCATAGAAGTCAAATGGGGGAGGCAGGTAGGTGGCGCAGTGTATAGAGCACTGATCCTGAAGTCAGGAGGACCTGAGTTCAAATCCAGCCTCAGACCAAACACTTGACACTTACGGCTGTGTGACCCTGGGCAAGTCACTTAACCCCAGTTGCCTAAAAAGATTAAAAAAGAACAGAAGTCAAAGAATTTGGACCCATGTTTCCTTACCCCAGGTTCAGTGCTCTTTCTGCCACCCCCTGGGAGCTAAAAAATGAATCATGAGACAGCAAAGTTCATAACTTGGGACCCATTTCCTCCATAAACCTGCCCTGATGGTGGCAGCCCTCCCTGATCTCCTTCCTCTGAATTCCTATAGCACTTTGCAACTTAACCACACAATCCATCACTCAGCAAAATTCTGTCTTTAGTTCTTCCGTCATATCATATGCACTGTCCCTCCAAGCAAATTTTAAGATCTTTAAAGGAGAGGAACTATTTCTTACACTTCTATATATCTCCCCATAACAAGCACTCTATTCCATCCTCAGACCTTTAGGGAGAATATTGTTCCCATTCTCTTGCATCAAATAGCCAGCTGAATATTTGTACTCGATCATGGCTGTAGTTTCTGTTGGCCAGTCTATGTACTTTTTTTTATTTTTCAAAAGAAAAATGCTTTAGCAGCAGGAGATGAATATGTGGTCAAGTGGTTTGAGCACAGGACAAATCAGGAAGTTGTGCCTTCTAATCCTAGCTCCACCACAGACTTCCTTTGTGGCTGTAGCGACTCAACGAGCAAGCTTCTTCATGCCTCAGTTTCTTGCTAAGACAGATCCAAAAACCAATGCAGGTTTTTTCAGTCTGCATAAAAAACCTGCACCAGAAGTCTCAAAGTTAATAAACTGATACTTGCTTAGGTGGAAATGGCCCTAAAAGGAGGAAAATGGCTTTACCTTTTAATTTTCTGTAGTATGACAACCTTTCTGTGGCTCGGACTTAACATGTACATTTTGCCAGCAAGATAGGAACAATGAGTCAGAAGGATTTCCTGTGTAAGTAATGTACTTCCAGAGGCAGAGGGTAAAGTTTTTTCAGTTCCCAGAAAGACTACAATTAGACGGTCAATTTGACACAAACAAACTGCTAAAAAAGTGTTTTCTTTTTTTTTTTTTAATGTAATAACTTTCACTAAAATGGATGCAAACTGCTGCCTGAGGTTCAGTGAGAAGAAAAAATCCTTTAAATAGTCCTCACTGGGTGACATGCAGTCCTACAATGCCATTCATGAAGAGGGAATGCCATCAAGTCTGGCAACTGTGTTCCAGCATTTGGGACTGCATGAGGGTTCAGTACCCAGGCAAACCTCAGAATCAGCCAGCTTTGTGGTACCAGCTGTGGCAAAACTGGAAAGAAGCATACACTACCACAAAGGAGAAATTCTTTGATGGTTTTCTATGATTTGCCAGGAAGACTGTAGGTGGATACTTTTTATAAAGATGACATTTTAGAGAAAAAAAGTGACCTCTCAGTATAACTTGCTAATTTGTTGTTGGGGTTCAGTTCAAGAAGCTTTTAATAAAAACTGGAATGTACAAAAGGTGCTGTGCCGGATGCTAGACATACAAAGCAAAAATGAAATGTTTCCTGCTCTCAAATATACAACATGTACACAAACAAATATTATGCAAGAAAAAAATGGAGGAGAAAGAACCCTAAGAGTAGCTGTTAAGGATTAGGGAAATCTTCAGGGAGGGAGTGCTGAACCTTCAAGGAAGGCAAGAATTCTGAGAGGTAGAGATGAGGAGGGAATGCATTCCAGGCATGGGGAATGGCTTGTACAAGTGCACAGAATGGGGAAATATCAAGTTCAGTGAAGAAGTAGTAGTGTGGTTTGGTTAGAATGCAAGGTCTGTGCAAGGAAATACTATGAAATAAGGCTAGAAAGGTAAATGATTGTTACAAGACTGTACCAATTGATATCAATTGTGCCAATGATTGGTACCAGATCAAAAGTACAAGACTGGAGAGCATTAAATGCCAGTCTAAGGAGTTTGTATTTTATCATATGGGCAACATGGAACCATTGAAATTTCTTGAGCACTGGAGTGTCACGGTCAGACAAATGCATTACAAAGCCAATTCTAGCAGCTATGTGGAGGAAAGATTGAAAGTAAAGAGACTAGAAGCTAAGAATCTATTAAACTATTATGGAAGTCCAGTAAAGAGGTGCTCAGGGTTTGGCTTAGATCAACAACTACATGAGTGGAGAGGGAAGGACAGTATGAAATGCTGTGGAGGTACAACCAATCATTGGCAAGTGATTAGATGAGAGAAGGAAAAGAATCAAGAATGAGTTTCAGGTTTTGAAACTCTGTGATTGTGAAGGTGGTGGTACCTTCAACAGAAATAGGGAAGTTTGAAATTGGAGAGGAAAGGGAATTTGTGAGTTCCATTTTATACATATTGAGTCAAAGAAGTGCAGAGGGTATCTTGGAGAGAGAAGAGAAGAAACTTCCAGGGCAAGAACCCTAGGAAAAATCCATTCTAAGAAAGTAGGAGACGGATGGTGATGTGACAAAGAAGACTGAGAAGGAAAGGTCAGGTAGATAGGAAGAGAATCACTGGAGAAAAACATCATGGAAGCCAAGAAAGGAGAGTGTGTTCCAAAAACGGGAATGGCCAATAGTAACAAAAACTTCAGAAAAGTCAAGCAAAATGAAGCCTCAGAAAAGACCATTGGATTTAAAGATTAAGAGAATGCTGATAACCCTGAAAAGAGTAGCTTTGGTTGAATGGTGGGTCAAAAGGCAGATCGCAAAATGATTGAGAAATGAGTGGGTGATAAGAAAGTGGAAGCTATCAGTGTTGACAATCTTTCCAGGAGTCTGGCAGTGAAAGGGAGGATAGTTACAGGACAATAGTCCTGAACTCCTGAAGGGATGGCAGGGTCATAGTAAGGTTTTTAAAGAAGGGGTAAATCTGAGTGTATTTGTAGGCATTGCAGAAAAAGCCAATAGATAAGGAGAGGCTGAAAATGATTCAAAGAATGATTGATGGGACAAGCCATGGAGAAGATGGAATTATCAGTGCAGAGAGAAAAGGTATCTATGCTAACTAAGGAAGAGCACCTCTTCCTCAGAGATAGGCATAAAGGAGGGAAAGGATGCATGGGAAAGTAATGAGGATTTTAAAACATGAAATAAGGGACAAGAGATAGCCTATGATAGATGGCTGCTATTTTTCAATAGATTAGGAGTCTGAGAGAGGCTAGTTCTTGTGATGGGGGAAAATACTGAGGACTTGAGAGAAGAAAGAAAGAAAAGTTTGAAACTGAGAACATTCCTCAGAGGCCCAAAGTTGGCAACTTGATTGATATTAAGCTTTCTATTCTTAAGGTTTTGCCACAGGGTGAAAGTACAGTTAGGATGGGAAAGCAAACAACAGGTCTTTTTGATTGGAGATTACATACTTCTTTGAGATTTTATTACAGTGGTCAAAAGATCATAGATCAAAAGCAAGAAGAGACCTCAGAAGCCACGTAGTCCAATCTCCTAATTTTACAGATGAAGAAACTGAGGTCCAAGGAGGTTAATCAGGACTTCTGAAAAGAGGAAAGACTAGTGAGAACCAGTGATACTAATCTAAATTGATATATAGTAAGGAGACTGTAGCGAGCACCTTTGTGGTCTACAAAATTTTGCCCATAAAAAATATAATTGATGAATATACCACACAGGCAGAGGCTTCTAATAAGCTAAGCTGGTGCCAGCAATGAGATTTGATAAGTGAAGTTAAAGAGTCATCAAAAAGCAAAAGCAAACAGCGTTCATATTTTCTTGAGGTTAACAGAAAATACTTACATCAACTTCTCCTTGATCAATGACATAGAAATTATCACCTTCATCTCCTGGAGAAGAAAAAAATCTTTTTTAAGATAATATAGAGAGTAGTGAGAAAGTTAAAAACATGTAAGTTACATACACCATTTAAACAGCATTTTCTTTTTTCTTTCTCTCATTGTTTTTCTTTTCTTTCTTTTTTCTTCCTTCTCTCCCTTTCTTTCTTTTCTTTCTCTTTTCTCTCTCTCCTTTTTTTTCCCTTCCCTCTTTTTGTCCTTCCTTTCTTTCTTTTCATTGGGTCTCTTTATATTGCCCAGGCTTAAAGTTCAGGAGCTACTCACAATCCAGCCTCACTACTGATCAACACAGCATTCTCCAGCTCTATTTCTGACCTATACTGGTTAGTCTCTCCTTAACGAACCTTTACCATATTGGTACTGGACTTAGCCACCAATTGGCTTAGCTCATTACAGCCCAGAACTCTCAAGCTTGACTGAACCTCAAGAATTAGCATCCACTAGTACCTGCAAGTATAGCATGGACCACCATGTCTAGATAAATTGCATGTTCAAAATTTCTTCTCATACTATTTAAAAGCAATATTCTGGATTTTATCAATATGGAATACTTAGTGAAGAGGGAAAATTAGGAACAGGGTCATAACAGTTTGCTAAGCACACTGTTCTTAGAACACATTTAATAAATTCTGTAATGCACAAATGATTTTCTTCTTATATTTCTATCAAAACAGAATTAAATAGTGAAATTCCTGCAGACATTTGCTCTTATTCAGGGAAAATACAGGAGGAAAGTTACCTTGCAGTATGACTGTTTCTCCAGCAATATGAGTGACAGGAAACATAGCATCAAATATGTCACTAGAAAACAAAACACATTTGAGTTGCAGTTATATGCATATTTAGAAATTATACTTCTTTATATTTTTAAGTGAAAGGTCAATAAACTGTTCTATTGGCCACTATTTACTAACGAATTGGCTATTTGTTGTTTTTAATTAAAACAAAACAAAAGTTATTTAGCTTAAACTCAACACTGGTAGGGGCAAACGTGAATAAACCTAATAAGGACATATTAAATTTAGAACTGTTACAGCTAATGTTTAAATATATGAAATGCTTAACATGCCAATTCAACCAACTGACATTATAACATAGTTAACATGAACAGGGCACATGAAATGGAAACACTGTGCAAATTAAGCAGCTTGTATGTCGTATTTTCTAAATTTACATGTGAAACTGGCTACACAAACGGTACACAAATCGAATTGCACAGGCTCTAAATTTGTCCAACAATGAGTTGGCAAAGGCAAAATCAAAGTTGGTAGGGAGATGTTTGTTGAACTATGAAATTAGCTGAGTAAATATACATCTCCTAAGGAGTCACAGATGCCCATTGATTAGGGAATGACTGATCAAATCATAGCACATGAATGTAATGAAATAATACTGTTCCATAAGGAAAAAAAATCCAGAGAAACAAGGAGAGACTTGATGCAAAGTAGAAAGCAGAGCCCGAACAATTTACACAATGATTACAATAATGCAAAGGAAAATATCATTGAAAGACATCAAAATTCAAATTAAATGCACTGAGCAATCTAAGTTCCAGAACACTGTTGATGAAAAACACCAGCGGGGCAGCTAGGTGGTACAGTGGATAGAGCACCAGCCCTGAAGTCAGGAGGACCTGAGTTCAAATCCGACCTCCGACCAAACCCTTGACACTTACTAGCTCTGTGACCCTGGGCAAGTCACTTAATCCCAACTGCCTAAAAAAAAACCAAAACCACCACTGTACCACCCCAACCCAATTCAGCAGAGAGACAATAAAAGAAGGAACATCAAATATGCTCTCAGACAAAGTGGTTTTATTTGGTCAGTTTTGCATACCTATATTTTTCTGTTCTAAGGTCAGGTTCTATGAAAATGTGCTGTTAAAAACAAAAACCACCAATAAACTTTTTTTGGGGGAAGGGGGAGTTTGGGTGGTTTCTATTCCACTATTATATATCGTCACACAACTTCATATGTAGGATATGAGAGTTAAGGAATCTAGGAGATTATCTACGACAAGGCCCTATATTTTATATAGAACTGAGGCCCTGAGAGGGAAAGTCTCATCCAAGGTCACACTAATCAACAAGCATTTATTAAACACCTAATGCATGCCACTGTGCTAGAGGCTGAGGATACAAATACAATAAAAGAAATAATTACTATTCTCAAAGGGCCTACATTCTGGGAGAGGGGGTAGCTAACAAAGACATATGTACATAGACACAGAATATAAAGAGAATAAATACAAATTAATATAAGGAAGTTGGACACAGAAGATAGTAATATTTGAAAGAACAGGAAAGATTTCATATAGAAGGTGATACTTGAGAAGCATCTTGAAGAAAGAGACGGATTCTAGGAGGCTGAGTTGTGCATTCCAAGCATATGGGACAGCCAATGCAAAGGGCTGGAAGAGAGGAAGTGGAGTGTCCCAGGAGGAACAGAGAAAAGGTCACGTGACTACTTGTTACATTTTGCTAGATTTATAGAAACAGAAAGGGTTGCAAATTCCTTTCCTTTACAAATATATGGAAAAAAGCAAAGCCTTTAAAAGGATAAAGACTACCCAGTGTTGTTTTTGTATGACTACTTGAGTCTTACAAAAGAGGAGTCACTAAACCATTCCAAAGACCACTGAGCTTTTGATGGCTGTTAAAATCCTTAGGTAGGAAATGCATGCTATAAAATTCTAAGGTTAGCTTATTTCCTGTCCTAACTGGTTTAAAAAATAGTTCTTGGAAACGTGCACTCACCAGTTAAAGGTTGAGACTATTCTTCCCTTCAAGAGAACAAGCTACATGAGTAGTCCTGAGGTGTTAACTGATACAAAGAAGTCAGAGCCAAAAAACATCACAGTACAATTTCTTACAGAATGAACTTTTTGATTTTGTTTTCGAAGATCAAATATTTCTTTTTCACTGCCCTGTTCACAATCCAGGATATTCTTTTTTCTCTCAATTTTCCTTTAGGTTCTGGTCATTACCTAGCTGCCATTAAGCTGCATGACCTTGAACAAATACTTAACCTCTCTAGGCCTCAGTTTCTTCTTTTGAACTAGATAACCTCTATTATCACCTCCATCTTTAATATTCTATCTTATAATTCTTATAATAAAATAATAGAATACTTATTATAATGTAATAGTATAATAACATAAGAAAAAGTATGTTTGCTGGCTAAAAAGTAGATGAGAAAACAGTTGTATTGTGGACCCTCTAATACTTACAAGCTTGCTTTTTTTTTTATTGAACAGTTTATAAAACGCACCAATCTTATTTAAAGGAAAGCTCTAATGAATGTAACTGAAGTGTGCTGGTAAATGATTAACAATCAGCTTTTCTAGGGGGGGAATGTAGGCATGACACACTTTTAAGCTTAATCTACACTGATCTACCTTTTCTCCATCACTTTCTTAATTCAAGACTTAAAATAATAAATCGAGCCCTAATTTATAGTACTTGCCAACTTTCATATTATAAATGCTCACACTGAAAATATAATAATCAGCTCTCTTGAGTTGGCTCAAGCATACTACATATTATTATTGTATATTCATAAAATTACTAGTAAATAATAATGTTATTACTATTATTGTACAATAAGAATTGCCAAATATGAGAAATTCAGAGAAATGCTGGAAAACTAGAACTGATACTGAGTGAATTAAGTAGAACCTGGAGAATAATATACACAACCACCATAATATTAAAAGGAAGCTTATCTCTGAATAATGGTGGAGACCATTCTTGGTCCCAGAAAATAGATGATGAAATGTATCTTCCTCCTCTTGACAGAGAAGCAAGGGATAATGGGGACAGAATGTTGCACATGTCATCACTGTATCATCTGTTTTTGCCTAATTTTTTTTCATTATTATAAAGTGGAGTTCAAGGGGAGGGGGAGATATGTCAAAAAATGAGATATAAAAACAACACAACATTTTAATAATGTCATTTCCCTCCCCCAAAAGAAATCGATTATCTTTTAACTCCTGCCTCCTTAGGAGTATAGTTCTTCCCACTCTCTCCTGAATTTGGCTTGGAAAACTTGGATTTGTATATCATCTAAGAAAGGGTTCTTAATTTTTTGTGTGTCACAGACCCATCTGGCAGTCTAGTGGGACCTATGGACCCCTCCTCAGAATAGTTTGTAAAAATTCATAATTGAAGGAAATGCTAAATTTTAGCTACAGTCAGTCAGTAAGCATTTAATAAGTGACTGCTGTGTGCCAGGCACTGAGCTAAGTCTAGAGATACAAAGAAAGGCAAGGGATAATGCCTGCTCTCAAGTAGCTCTCAGTCTAATGGGGGAGATAATATGAAAAATAAAGATGTGATTTTTTTTTTCTCATCCAAGTTCACAGACCCCCTGAAATATAATCACAAGACCCCTGGGGGTCCATGGAACCACATTAGGAGTCCCCTGATCAAAGGGGTGCCCAGCTACACTTTCATTCTCTCTTCATGGATAAAATTGAATTGTTAATTGAAGTCCTTATTTTGGAAGACTGAGCTCTCTCTACATCCCTCAACCTGATACAGAGAAACAAAAAATTACAAATCTTGATCTGGCTCCACACTATGCCAAGCACTCTATGAAGTAAATTAAGAAGGTACAGCACTCTTGTCCTCTAGAAGTCTCTGAATGATTCAAATTGGCTTTCTTTCCTGATTGAATTATCTCAAGGATTTCTCTTCTCCCTAATTCACTCTACCTACACAGACACAGCATAAGACAGAAGAGAGTGAATGAGCAGCAGAGAAATTCCAGCTTGTACCATAAATGACAAAAGCCTTTTCTTTTAACACAGGTAATGCCCTTTGACAGCCTCATTTAAAGGAAATGCCTGTTAGACCCATTTTTCCCAAAGATGAAACCATAATGCACCAGATGCCCCTACAACTAATAACTGTAAAAGAAATAAGCCAGCAAGAATTTAGAGTTCTAGCCCATCAAAAGTAAATTAAAACAAGTTCTATCAGCCAACTCTCCCAACTTTCTCCTCGGCTGAATAACTATTTTTCCACTTTCCACATCCTTTCAAACAAAACCCAATCCCTTCCTACTCCTCAGGAATTTAATGGCATTAAAAGGCACTGGCCTTTTCTGTCTTTACTAATGTTGGCATGTACAATAAATTGACCTGCAAAAATAAAAACTATTTTCAAGTTGAATCTAGCAATAGTTTCTTGGGGATTTTAATGCAATCAGTGGCACATGTCTTTAAAAACCCTCACATAATTTGTCTTCCCATCCCCTTATTATCTGTACCACATATTTTGGCAGTTGACTCTATCCAACTTAGAACTTTATTAAATATCTTGCATTTTTCTCTAAATGGTCTGTGTGCATAAGTCTAGTCTCCCCAACCAGAGAATAAACTCCTTGAAGGTAGGCAACAAATCCCATGTTTTTGTCCTTCAAATACAACTAGTTCATAGATTGGACTCAGCCACAGAGAAGCAAACTAAATAACTCCAAACAGGGATTAATCTCACTGCTATATATTATGAAGTATGGGTTTTCCCTCTCAGATCTATTTGATTTTTTAAATTTTTATTTTTAAAAAAATTTCTATTATCAAGCATTTATTTTTTCTCAATCCCACTCCCACACACACATTGAAAAAAGAGAAATAAAACCCTTTGAACAAATATTAATAGTCAAGCAAAACAGATTGTTACATTGGCCACGTCCAAAAAAGCATTTCTCATTCTGCATATTTAGCCTATTGCCTTTCTGTCAGGAGGTGGGCAGCATCTTCATTCTCGATTCTCTTTCCTCAAATGTTGTAAACA